ATCTATATGTGTGACCCGAAATCAATGCACCCGAGTGTAGCTAAAAGTAGCACAGGTAATCTTCCGTGGTTAAGAGATTAAGTAAAATTAACGGCAACAGACGCCAACTAAATCTTAACCGCTTGTCCTCCCACATTGGATAAGTAATAACATACATACAGGTATTAATCTAGGCGAGCACGTGACCTTTTGGCAGTGATGGGACACCGCTGTGAACGAGTGTGAAAATAACTTAACTTTAACTTGATTTATTGTCTAGTTAAAGTACAAACGTACGAACAATTTTGCGTTGTGTTAAATTTCAATGTGATTAGGGCTCAGTTGAGTATTTATAAAATTAAGAATCATTGTTTATAATTTTTGAATTGTCATTAGAAAGAGTCAGGCATATGTAGATTCTATGGGGAAAAACGTACAAGAAACTCTAAAGAGTCTGCTCGTATTTCGACATGTTTCTTTCTGCATTCTCCGAGGAATTGTTCGGACTAATACCAGCCGCAACTTTCCGCCATCGTTCCACACGGCAAAATTTTCATCCTCATCATCTGGATAGTTGGCGCTCCACTACTGTGCGATTTTCAAGACACTTTTTGTCCCGCACAACCAATCTGTGGAACGGGTTATCGTCTGCTGTATTTCCAGACCGATACGACCTTCAAACCTTCAAGAAAAGAGTGTATTCCTTAGTAAAAGGCCAGCAACGTGTTTGTTACTCCTGAGTTGTAGACATTCATGGGCGGCGATGGTCACTTTCCACCAGCTGACCTGTGTGCTTTCTGCTGCTGATTTTTTTGTTGTAAGTTGCGTATAAGTTCACAATAATGTGGGATTAATGTAACATAGTGTATTAATATTCTTTTAACAGCACATAATTTGATATTAATAATAATAATATCAAATTAACTCACTTAAAAAGTTTGGACAAGTAATGTTAAACGTTTGCTACTCATTGATTTTAGACGAATTTCTGTTTAATAAACACTGTTTATACCCTGACATCCAAGATAGGTAGAGACCTGTATTCTGGAGATCAGGGTTCTGCTGTGAAAAAAACTTAGCAAGTAGATCAATGCTCACCTTTACAATTTTATGAACTTATAAAACAAAAATATCACAATTTGGCTGTCTCTGAATCGCTATTATGTTTCAGAAATAGTAGTCCCTGTATGAACGACCTATGGTCCTTGTTCACGAGAACGCACCTATCGTTACGAATGTCACTGAAGACATGTCATGTTAGGGTGTTACATGACATGTTAGGGTTTATCCAAGTTATCCGTCTCTTGGCAGTGCTGTTGTCCTGCGTAGTTAGCTCCTTTAGTCGGTTCTTACGACAACCGTGGGATGAAAAGGGGTGGTCAAGCTCTGTATTCTTAACCTGTCACCACAACGACAGTCATGTGGTGATGGATGTTATCAATCATATCTATACGTATAATAAAATTGTAACAGGTCGGTACATTAAAGATATTGAAGAAAAACTAATAAAGGGAGTCGTGTTAGGGTCGCTAAGACCTATTTCTTAGCGTTCGATAGATTCACTGTGCAGGTGCCGGGTCCATCGCGTAATAGATGGGCAACGCTCCTGGGAATTGCGACCCAGGATTAGGTTTAGGTTAAATAAAATCTAGAGAGGACTATCCTCTTTAGATTTTATTGTAAAAAGTTATAAAACTAGAAGAAGAAACAGACATATATGTCTATCGATATACATGCAACGTAAATTGTGAATTAGGAAGTGTTTTTTTATGATAGGGATAGGGGGAAAGGAGCAGAGGAGTGGCCTGATGGAAAGAGATCACCACCGATAGCTAACACCCGCAACTAAGAAGTCACAAGAGCGTTGCCGGTTTTTGATATGGGAGTACGCTGTTATATTGAAGGTTTGGAAGTCATTATTACCAGCCAATATGGCAGGTAACAATTTATTACAAATATTGGTTTGTGGCAAAAAGTTTGGAGTGGTGGAGTGCCAATTATCCAAGTGATAGGGCTGTCCCCATCACTTCATCGAAACATCTCTATGTTTCGCCGCGTTCAACGATTGCGAAAAGCTGTCGCTGAGAAACTTAATGTTTTAATAAAAACCATCGTAAGTATTATTCGTTTAATCATGAAGGCCGCTGAGAACCGTGGGCCCGATCACACTTGAGCAAATCCGTCTTTAATAAATATATTTTGCCTTTGCTAGCGGCTCCTCCTGCGTGTGTCAGGCGTGAAAGTGTAAAAAACAAAGAAACAAACATACCAACAAATAAACCCACTTCCACATTTATAGTATAAGTGTTTAATACTGGCAGGAGCTGGATGCGAGAAGCCCAAAAACGATCTAAGTGGCGTGCAATGGGATAGGCTTATGTCCAGCAGTGGACTGATGTCCAGCATAGGCTGATGATGATGATTTAATACTGAAAGTTCAGGAAACAGGAGACAGTAGAGGAAAAGTTTTTATTTTCACGTAAATTTAGTCACCTAATGTACCGGCAAACTCTTTATAATTATGAAAACTTTGAAGCAGTTCTATTGAGTAATTCGTCCTTTGACCAAACTTTTAAAAAAATTGTTTAAAAAACTAAAAAAAAAATATTTCCCAAAAGATATTTAACAAGTTAAATAAAGGAAGTATTTCCAACTCAAGTCTGATTCACCCGAGATCACAACACTAACTTGCGAAACAATACAGGGCTAAATACCAACCCGTAGGTGGGAGGGGGGGTTTTATTGCCTGTCGTAAATTACAAATGTCTGGAATAAAATACTAGAAAATATCCAAGATTTGATGCAAGTGTGTTTGGTTTACCTGGTTTTACTTAAATAAAGTCAATTTTCATAAGGTATACGCATTTTTATATGGTGTGGTGCCTATGTCCAGCAGTGGACTAGTATAGGCTGTTGATGATGATGATGATGATGGTGGTACTACCCATCGGTGGTTGTGTCGGACTCGAACCAACCAACAACCGCACGCCGTCTTGGGTACCAATAGCCGGGGAACCAGTTGTATCCCAGAAAGGAAATTCCTGCTACACCTCCCTCCTCCTAGCCCTGATTCTCAGATCGGTATAGCTCAAGGTGAAGTGGTTTGTCAGAATCGAACGATGTTTCGTCACATGTTCTCTATTGCCCTTATTCCCTCTTTTCTGTGCAGAAAACCCTTCGGATATCATACACCGGTAAAGTGGTGGGGTGGTTATGATGGACTTGAACCAACGCGTAGCCGGGGAACTAGGTGTACCCTAGAAAGAAAATCCCTCGTACGACTAGAAAGAAAGTCCCGAGAACACGAGAGCGAGCGTGTTAAATTAAATTTAATTATACAATATAAACGTGGTTAACCAATTAAATAACCTTTTAGGAATATATAAACAGCCTATTGCAGTCCATTGCTGGACATAGGCCTCTCCTATTGCACGCCACTTCGATCGAATTTCAGCTTCTCGCATCCATCTCCTGCCAGCCATCTTGCGCAAATCGTCATTCCAGTGGGCCTGTGGGCGTCCTACACTCATCGGTCGTTACCACCAGCGGTTGTCGGTTCTGCCCAGCCCACTGCCAGTTCAGCTTGCTAATCCGCTGTTGTTTGTTAGTTAATGTTGGTTTAGGTCGGAGGTCTTGGGTTCGATTCCCACCCAGGACAAATATTGTGTGATGAGCACGGTCAATTGTTCTCAGTCTGGGTGTAATTTATCTATAATATGTATGTATTTAAATATATATAAGTATGTTTATCAGCAGTCTGGTTACCATAGCACAGGCTCTGCCTAGTTTGGGATCAGACGGCCTTGTGTGGGATGTGTGAAAAAAATATATTATTATTTATTGTACTGGACGACTCTGCAAACAATAAGGTTTTACTTTATTCTATGGATTATATGCCACCATATATAATAGTAAAATAGTTTATCTGTGTAATATGGCGTTATACCGTTCTTATCATTAACGCGCGAAAGTATAAAATGTAAAATTGAAATCTCTGATCCCAAACTAGACAGAGCCTGTATTATACTAACCAAACTGCTGAAGTGCTGAGAAAAACACTTTTTTTTTTTAATTCTAATGTTTTGAAGGAACTTTTGCCCACATGGGCACGCCAGCTCCATTGTACCTTATACTAACTTATTTTCTATTAAACATACAATTAGATAAACTTATGAACGAGAATTCTATACAATAAATTACAATATAAATCCTAGTCCAGCCCTGGGCGGGCAGTGTCGAATATATCGACGTCATAATTTTTCGTTGAATATGTATGTAAAAACGTAATAATTTCTGAAATACTGAGTTAGCTGCAATATCTATATATATAAAAGAAAGTCGTGTTAGTTACACTATTTATAACTCAAGAACGGCTTTGCCGATATGGCTGAAAATTGGTGAGGAGGTAGCTTAGAGCCAGGAGACGGACATAGGATACTATTTATTCCGTTTTTTCTTTTTTCTTTTTTTTTGTATCGGCGTCGATCACCAGATGGCAACGGTGGAACTGTCACAACAAAAGTGAAAAGAATGGATTTCGTTGTCGACAACAGTTGGATTGTTCCATATTCGCCACTTATTTCTAAAACGTTCAAGACACTTTGCAACGTTGAGTGTTGCAATTCAGTAAATTCCATAAAATTTGCAAATATGTCACGAAAGGCAGCGATATGGCGGTTTTTGGATTGCAATCCTCAAATACTAACGATGAAATTTCACGCTATCAAGTTAGTCGTTATGGAAACTGTAATAATGCGATTTGGCGTATATTCGCATGCCCTATTCACGAACGTCATCCTCTGTTGTACATTTGGCAGTGCATCTGGAGAATGGTCAACGAGTATATTTCACGGCTTCGAATGCTATGCAACGTGCTGAAACACCTCCAGCAACTACATTGACCAGTTTCTTTGCGATCTGCCAAAGCGATCCGTTTGCACGAACTTTGCTTTACTCGGAGATGCCACGTTATTATTCTTGGAATGCTTCATCGAAGAATTTTCAAAGACGGAAGCAAGGCGATGCGATTCCTGGGTATCCGGATGTGCGTTCTATTGATGGTTCTTGGTCGTATGTATACGGTTCATCCAAAGAATGATGAATGTTTCTATTTGCGGTTGTTGCTGGTAAATGTGGGTGGGCCAACGTCATTTGAGACACTACGGACTGTTAATGGTGTAATATTCCCAACATATCGTGCGGCATGTGAAGAACTGAACTTATTAGAAAACGATACCCATTGGAATACGACAATCGCTGAAGCCATTATCTCTGCATCTCCAAGTCAGATACGCACATTATTCGCTATCATAATTTCGACATGCTTCCCATCAAACCCATGTAACCTGTGGCACAAATATAAGGATAATATGTCAGAAGATATTTTACATCAAATTCGTATCACTTCCAGAAATCACGATGTTGAGATGAATGAGGAGATACATAATCGTGCTTTACTCTTGATCGAAGATATGTGTTACCTCATGTGCGGTAGTTTATTAATCAGGTTAGGAATGCCAGCGCCCAATCGTGAAATGAATGACGTATTTAATCGAGAATAGGAACGGGAACGTGAATATGATCACCAGGAATTAGATTTAGTAGTTCAAAAGAATGTACCCCTGTTGAATTCCCAACAAAAGGAAGTTTTTGATACTTTAATGAAGGCAATCGATGATAGAAATGGTGGTTTATATTTCCTAGATGCCCCTGGTGAAACAGGTAAGACATTCCTCATGTCAGTAGTTTTAGCCACTGTTCGTGCGAGATCCAACATAGCGATTGCATTTGCTTCTTCTGGAATAGCAGCCACATTGTTAGAAGGATGCCGTACGGCTCATTCAGCATTAAAATTACCGTTAAATCTTCTAACTATTGAAGAACCAACGTGTAATATTACGAAAAATTCAGCAATGGCTAAAGTTTTATCGGCATCGAAAATCATCATCTGGGACGAATGCACAATGGCGCATAAACGTGCATTAGAAGCACTTAACCGAACATTGAAAGATTTACGAAATGACTCGAAATGTTTTGGAGGAGCAATGATTTTACTGTCTGGCGATTTCCGCCAAACACTGCCAGTAATTTCAAGATCTACGGCTGCCGACGAAATAAACGCTTGCCTCAAATCGTCGAATCTATGGCGCTATGTGAAGAAACTGCAGCTGACAACAAACATGAGAGTTGCATTGCTTAATGATACATCTGCTCAAGATTTCTCTGAACAATTGCTGACTATCGGTAATGGTCAAGTATCTGTCGATGAATCATATGTCGATGAAATATTGATATCATTTCCAAATAATTTCTGTAATTTTGTCTCATCAAAAGACGAACTTATCAACAATGTATTTCCAGATATTATTTCTAACTACAAAAATAATGAATGGTGGAGTGAGCGAGCAAATGTAGCGGCTAAGAATAAAGATGTAGACGACCTGAACTATATAATTCAAAATAAGATCATTGGAACAATGCATTCATTCAAATCTATTGACTGCGTCACAAATGAAGATGAAGCCACCAACTATCCAATTGAATTTTTAAACTCCTTGGATGTGCCTGGCTTACCACCGCACAATTTACGCCTAAAGGTTGGCTCCGTAGTAATCATGCTTCGAAACATAAACCAACCAAAACTGTGCAACGGTACGCGTTTGGTGGTTAGAAAATTGATGAACAATGTAATTTACGCGACGATACTGAAAGAAAAATTCAAAGGTGAGGAAGTTCTCATTCCGAGGATCCCGATGATCCCAACCGATTTGTCGTTTGAATTTAAAAGACTTCAATTTCCGATCCGTCTTGAATTTGCCATGACCATCAACAAATCACAAGGCCAATCCTTAAAAGTTTGTGGTTTGAATCTAGAACATCCATGTTTTTCCCATGGTCAATTATATGTGGCATGTTCACGGGTCGGAAGACCATCTGCGTTGTTTGTTTTTGCGCCTGATAAGAAAACAAAAAATGTCGTATATCACAAGGTACTACTACACTAAGTGAAGAGCAACCTACTGAAATGCAGAAACAATAATAAATGATTAATGTACTTCATTTTTTTTTCTAAGAAGAAAATTAACTCACTAAATTCGAAAATCGGCTTATTTATTGCCTTTAAGGCGGAACAGAGTTCGCCGGGTCAGCTAGTTTATAATATTTAGAACAAATCATAAAAGAAAACTTACCTTTTTACTCATTTTTCGCGATGATTTTCTTGGATGAAATTTGCACTTCAGAAAACCGCCAAATAATGACATGAGATGTCATCAGCTGTCAATGTCAGCCATACTTTTTTTTTTCTTTTTGCGTTTCGTTTTTGCTATGACCTGTCCGAATCGAATACAGACTATCGCAGTACCAAACTCCTAGCAGTTTAAAAATAAATCAATAAAAAGTATCGTGTCGAATATATCGACAGAGCCCCATAAAGGGTTAAAAGGCACCAATACCAAACTGCTCAATTTTTGGGCTGATATAAACATTTATATTTTTTACACACACATACTGTAGGTAAATTACACTCAGACATAGAAGAAACGACCGTCTTCATCACATAATGTACGAGTACTTTAGATGTACCAACATTGATTATATTATCTAACCAATCGATTCGCATAGCCACAAGTCATCAACCCAAAAACTCACGAGTCCCTCAGGAAATATATTGAAGTGCTTTTCCAAACTGCTACACAATATTATTCATGTCAATATTCGAATATCCCTCGTACACATATTGAGCACATAAATCTAATTTATGATGGGTCGCCTGAAGGAATCTGACTACCGTCGACACTGGCTAGATACAAGGTCGTAGCCAGCCTTTAAAATCCCCTCCAAAAGCAGGGATAGCAGAGATCGTACCCTGGAAACCTAAAACACACGGTAAAATGCAACTAAATAATATGTGGCGTTTATGCGCCGAGTATGGGTCGTTCACGGTTAATTTAGTACTTTAAAATACTTTGAGTTATAATATTAAAAGATATAACTGGTTTGATTTCATTATTATTTAATCGAACGTGAAACGAAAATAATTGTAATATAATAATATTTTTTCAGACATCTGACACACAACGCCATCTTGTTTCAAACTAAGCAGAGCTTGAACTACGAAAACTAGATTGACTGATGGAATACTTGTATATTTTTTTGTAAATACATACCTACATAATAATATTATACATAGAAACCACCCAAACTCCAAAAGAAATATTTGCAGATCATGAAAACATCTGGTCCGATCGAATCGAACCCGATACCTCAGCACACAAGTTGCATACGCTACCACCGAGGCAGTCAATGATATTTTTAACAAAACCCTAAACCTAAATTTTATATTTAAACTAGTGCCCTACCCCGGCTCGGCACAGGTATGTGGGTACAACATTTTTAAGTGTATCTTAAGGTTTTGATTCCAAAACATTGCTTTTTCTTCTACTTAAATAAAAGAGAAAACCAAATCAAAATTTATTGCTTTCTTCAAGAGGATTTGGCGGATAACCAATTCCTAGAGTCTGCAATCTTCTGCAGTATTTAAACGAGTAAATAAGAATTCAAACTATGGGTCTCAAAATTATGGCATAATAAAATACAGAGTGGGTGAAAGACTGAGGGCGAACACAAATATTGAAAACGGTGACTTAACAATACAAATTTGAGGTAGACGTTATTCAAAACGATCAGTAAACCTAACCAACCGTTACAGTTTTTGCAAGCCCGTGAAGCTTTTAATTCAACTACTACGAGTACAATGCAAACAGTTCTGACACTTGCCGGATGAATATTGGACATTCTGTGACCGCAGGATATTTTGCGCCTAAACTTTATTTTCGTCCACTCCGCATTTTTTTCGCCTAATGTAATATTTAATTCGATCACTTGGAATTTAAGTTGCTAGCTCAGGTTAACTGTTTCCCACTACTAGTAGCTCATGATTCACATTCACGATTATCGCCAGTTACGTAAATGTTTAGTTAAAGTAACTCATTAACATTTATATATTATTTATTCGGATGGTTCCCCGTACTAAAACAAGTAACATGTGGTGTCCTGCGCCAAATACCTTTACCGGTTCATCTCAAAAATCATCTACATGTTTTATAGTGTACTACCTAAATCGTACACATATTAAAAAAAAGTATGTAGGTGTGTTCTACGTGTGATCTAAAACTCATACCTACTCATATAAGAGAAGTATTAAAAATCTTGATAAGTAAGTGATATTACTCACTAAAGGACTATTTGAACGACAATTCTATAATTACTGCTTCAGAAAATTGTACAATACCTCGACTATCCTAATGATTTTGAATTGACATTAAATTAATTTGTTTGACATTTATTAAAATTGACTGTATTTTGTATTTATTTTGACATGCATGTGATTATTAATTATTATCATTGACGTTATTAATAATGTGGAAGTTTAAATAATCCTACAAATTTATGATATTTGAAAAAGTAAAATGTGTATATTTGTACGCCCCTGGGCAAAACATAGAGGACTTACCTATCCATAACATCTCACACTCTATTGTAATTTGACCTATGTTTACAAATAAATGATTCTGATTCTAAGCTCTTCTTAGGTAAATCTGTATAGCACTGTGTATTATAACTCCAATTTATTATTCCCACTGAAAGGTTAAACTGAAGTCCAATCTGACCTTTCCCTGGATCAAACGATATCCAACCGCATGGCTGTGTCATTTCTAGCCACTTGTTCAATGAGTGGCACTTAACCGCTTCAGAATGTCATGAGTTTACTTTATGTTACCCGAGGGCGCTGAGAGTCTTGTGACTAAACTTATTAGATATTGGACGCTAAAGATCGTGTTTTAAGCGTTGTAAGGCTGCTTTGACTGTGTTTGGAAGCGTTGATATTAAATTTTTGATGTACGTAAGTTTTGGAATTAGGTAACATATTTTGGAATATTCCGTATGGCGCACGCACGGATGGCGTAGTGGTTTAAGCGGTCGCCACGCCGCTCCCTACTACGCCGAGTGTTGTGGGTTCAAATCCCACATGGGACGACACTTTGTGTGATCCACAAATTGTTGTTCTGAGTCTGGGTGTTCTTTGTGTCCGTTTCACGTATGTTTGTAAGATTCCCCGCGACACAGGATATTTTCCTAATGCGGGAGTTGTCTTTTTAAGAAAAAAAAAAAAACCGTCACCGATTTTGAATACGGAACATTCTAAAACTATAACAGAGATCGTACCCCGGGAACCTCAATGACTCGGTAAAATGCAACTGAATAATATGTAGCCTTGTCATGTCCGTGTAGTGACGGATTATGAATACGGATTGTCACCACCCTACTCGTCCCGTGGGTGTCGTAAGAGCCGACTAAGGGAACAAACTACACAGGACAACAGCACTGCGAAAAGAAGGAAAACTTGAAATATAGCCTTTTTTTTTTTTTTTTTTAACGTGTGGAAATCCCCTCGGACCGTCACCCCTCCGGGGTTTTTTTTTTTTTTTTTTTTTTTTTTTTTATAACGCTTTTCCCCGATCATGGGAACACCGGGACCTTGTTAGACTTACACCATATGCCTAATCTATTTAATGTTGTACCCACACTATCCCTTGGATGGGATTTCCGCTACTACCTTTTTACTGATACTCACTTACTTTTACTTCTTATATTTACTATACATTATTTCTACACATTGTTTATTACTATACACTGTTACTATATACTATTTCTATTGTTTACTATTGTTCACTATGTACTATTACTATATACTATTTCTATATGCTGTACTTTTTCTATTGTTTTACATTTATACATTGTTATTTACCTTTTTTTTTTTTTTTTTTTTTTTTTTTTTTTTAATGTATCTCATTTGACTTCATAGTTATATAGTCTTACAACTATATATATATTCTATTTACTATACTATACTTCTATGTTATATCTAATCTTTAACATTCTTTCTTTAATTTTACTATTTCTTAATTCTGTTCTGTTTTGTAATTTTAACAACATTTTTATATTTTTAGGTCTATTCTCACATCTATAATCATGTGTAAGTATACACCTTGTGTGTTTCTTATGTATATATTGTATATATTTGTGTATCTATTTTATAACAGTAATACTATATCTAACAATCTTTTTACAACTTATTATGTCTAAATCTATTTCTATTTCTTTTAATTATACCACAGGATTTATGTGTTTTTTATTGTGTCCCCTCCGGGGTTTGCGGCGGGGTGGTGTGTCGGACTCGGACCGACTAAAACCACACGGTGTGCCACTCTGCGCCTGTAACAGGAGGGATCCGGGAACAGCTGTTGTTAAGACATCCGGACCCCTCCTAGCGCCAGCCCGCTCCTGGTGCGGGCTCCGTCTCAATGTTTTCCTCTCTTTATAGGCGACGTCCGGCACACGCGGACGCCGCCCCCTCGCGGCTGGACAAACTAATGCGGGTGGAGGGGAAACCCACCCCGTCCACCCGCGGCCACACTCAGGGCGGCATGAGGCTGTGGTAGGCGGGCCTCCGCCGCCCGGTTCGCCGGCGGCGGATCGGGTCCGAGTGGAGGTCGTCCTCCCGGGCCCTCTCCGCCGCCTCCTTCCGCGAGATTACTACCTCGCAGAAGGTTGCGACCGCGGTAAAACAACTGTCGCTACCGGCCATGGAGCGTACTACGGCCGGTAGCGAGAGATCCACTCCGATGACTGCAGTGAGGGCCCGGCGCTGCGCCGCCCATGCGG